TGTGTTGTGTGCTGTGAGTTTGCGCATGTGTGTGGTTGTTGTTGTATGTGTGTTGTGTGTTTGTTTGTGTGTCTGTATGTGTGCGTGTTTGTGTGTTCGTGTGTGTGTGTGTGTCTGTGTGTTTGTTTGTGTGTGAATGTGTGTGTGTGTGTTTGTGTGTGGTGTGTGTGTTGTGTGTGTTGTGTGCGTGTGGGTGTGTGCTTGTGTGTGCTGTGTGTCGTATGTGGTGTGTGTGTTGCGTGTGTGTGTGTGTTATGTGTATGTGTGTGTGTCTGTGTGTGCGCGTGTGTGTGCGTGTGTGTGTTATGTCTGTGTCTGTGTCTGTGCATCTGCCTCTGTCTCTGTCTCTGTCTCTGTATCTGTATATGTCTCTGTGTGTTTGTGCTTGTGCATGTGGTTGTGCTTGTGTGTGGTTGTGTTTGTGTTTGTATTATGTGTGTAATTGTGTATGTTTGTGTTCGTGTGTGTGTGTGTGTTTGTGTTTGTGTGTAGTTGTAGTTGTGGTGGTGGTTGTGGTTGTGGTTGTGCTTGTGCTTGTGATTGTGGCTGTGTTTGCATTTGTATTTGTATGTGTGGCTGTGCTTGTGGTTGTGTTTGTGTTTGTGTTTGTGGTTGCATTTGTGTTTGTATTTATGGATGTGGCGGGTGTTGTGATTGTGTTTGTGTTTGTGATTGTCTGTTTGTGGATGTGGATGTGGCTGTGGTTGTGGTTGTGCTTGTGTGTGTTTGTGTTTGTATTTGTGTTTGTGCTTGAATTTGTGGTTGTGTTTGTGTGTGTGTTTGTGTTTGTGTTTGTGTTTATGTTTGTGTTTGTGTGTTGTGATTGTGTTTGTGTTTGCGTGCGTGGTGTGTGTGCGCGTGCGTGCGTGCGGGCGGGCGGGCGGGCGGGCGTGAGTGCTTGCGTGCGTGCGGGGGGCGTGCATGCGTGTGTGGTGGTGGGGCCGGCCACGTCACACGCTCGGGGAGCGCTCTGACCCCTGAGCCGGCCGCGTTCGTCCTTCCTCCTCCTGCATGGTGGCGCAATTCGGCCCAACGGTACCCCCGTTCTTGCCATTCATCGCCAGCGCAGACACCCTCAGCCTTGCCGCCGACGCAAAAGATGTGTGTGTGTGTCTCTCTGTGTGTCTGTGTGTGTCTGCGTTTCTGTGTGTGAATGTGAGTGTGCATGTGTGTGTCTGTGTGTGTGCGTGCGTGCGTGCGGACGTGCATGTGTGTGTGCTCGTGTTCTTGTGCGTGTGTGTCTGTGTGCATATGTGTGTGTGTCTGGTTGTCTGCGTGTGTGTGTGTGTGTCTGTGTGTGCCTGTGCGCCTGTGTCTGTGTGTGTCTGCGTTTGTGTCTGTGTGTGTCTGTGTGTGTCTGTGTGTGTCTGTGACTGGCCACACACGCCCCATCGCCAGCGCAGTGACTCTGCCTAGCCGCCGACGGGAAAAAGTGTGTCTGTGTGTGTCTGTGCGTGTCTGTGTGTCTGTGTGTGTTTCTGTGTGTGCCTGTGTGTGTCTGTGTATCTCTGTGTCTGTGTGTGTGTCTGTATGTGTTTGTGTGTGTTTGTGTGTGTGTGTCTGTGGGAACGTCTGTGTGTCTGTGTGTGTCTGTGTGTGTCTGTTTGTGCCTGTGTGCCAGTGTGTGCCTGTGTGCCTGTGTGTACGTGTTTGCGTGTGTGTGTGTGTGTCTATGCGTGTCGGTGTGTCTGTGTGTGTCGGTGTGTTTGTGTCTGTGTGTGGTTGTGTGTGACTATGTGTGCCTGTGTGTGTGCCTAAGTGTTTGCGTGTGTGTGTGTGTCTATGTGTGTCTATGCGTGTCGGTGTGTCTGTGTGTGTGTGTCTGCGTGTGGCTGTGAGTGGCAGTGTGCCTGTGTGTGTCTGTGTGTGCCTGGATGTGCGTGTGCGTGTGTCTGTGTGTTTGCGAGTGTGTGTATGTGTATGCGTGAGTGTGTGTGTGTGTTTGTGTGTCTGTGTGTGTTGTGCGTGTGTCTGTGAGTACGTCTGTGTGTGCGCCTGTGTGTGCCTGCGTGTGCCTGTGTGTGTGCCTGCGTGTGCCTACGTGTATGCGTGTGTGTGTGTGTGTCCGTGTGTCTGGGTATGTGTGTGTGTCTATGTGCGTCGTTGTCTCTGTGTGCCTCTGTGTGTGTATGCCACCGTGCTCCCTGGCCCGTTGGGGCGTGGCAGAAAGCCAGGTGCTGCCTGGTGGGGTGTCAGTACACGTCGGTCGGAAGAAGTAGGTAAAAACATGAAGTAGGAAGGCGGATTAAGTTGATTGGGTCCAGACCCCCCAGGGAATAACAAAACACAGCAAAAGCGTGTCGATTCTTGAAGTAGGAAGGCGCTTGAAGTAGATTGGGATCTGGGAATCCAAAAATACCTACTTTCAACGACCGGCGTGTAAGTGTCTGGAAGCGCCCAGGGGCATGCACCACCCCTCGCAGAATGCGACAGGGTCGCGCGTGCTCCCGAGGCCTAGGTGTCTCCAGGACGGCCCAATATCGCTCCAAGACGAGCCTCGCTGGCCTCCGAACGGCCCAAGATGGCTCTAAGGCGGTCCGCGAGGCCTTCAAGGCGCCCCAAGAGGGCCGCGAGGCACAAATCTGAAACCATCCTTCGGCGTTTCCTTGTCGTTCGGGTTCTCGCCTTTTCGAGCTTCCGACGTCCCAAGACGACCCAAGAGGACACCGGACTGCCCCAAGACGGCCCAAGAGGCCCCCAAGAGAGCCCCTGGACGGCCGCAGAGGGCTCAAAGACGGCTCAAGAGGCGCGCAAGAATGCCCAAGAAGGGTCCCAAGAAGGGCCCAAGGGGGTCAGCATGAAGCGACATTTCGAGCAGTCCGCCCCAAAATGGCCCAGGAAGCCCCAAGAGGGCCAAAAGAGGTCCCCCAGAGGCCCCCAAGAGGGCCCCGAGATGCAAACCCCATTGACGTGTCGCAGCATTTTCAATGGTTTGTGGGTTCTCGCCTTGTCGAGCTTCCACAGCTCCAAAACGTCCCAAGAGGCCCCCAAGACTCCCCCGAGATGGTTCGTGAGGCCCCCAAGCTGCAAGACGGCCCAAGAGGGCTCCAAGACGGCCCAAGAGGCGCCCAAGACTGCCAAAGAGGGTCCCAAGACGACCCCAAGAAGGGCCCAAGAATGGGAACAAGAACTAAGAATTCGAGATGTCTGCCCCAAGAGACCCCAGCAGGCGCCCGTGCATGTTCGAATAGCTGCCACACAAAACGCTGCGCTGGCAGTGTGGCGACATTGCCGAAGGCAGCTTGATATGAATAGATCGGTGTGCATAAATATATATATATATATATGTATACATATATGTGTATATATATATATGTATGCATATATGTGTATACACCTACATGCATGGATGTGCGTACATACATACATACATGCATACATTTAGACATGCAGACGTGCATACATACACGCGTGCACACATGATTGTATAAGTACATGCATATATACATATGTACATGCATACATACGTACACACATGCATACCATCATACATACATACACATATATACATATATGAATGCATGTGTACATATATGCATACATACACACAAACATGCACGCATACAAACGTACATAGTACACACCTGCATACAGCCATGCATACATACATGCATGCATACACCTGCATACATGCATACGTATATACCTACATGTATACATGCATACACACATGCACGCAAGCATGCGTGCATACATTCATACATGCATACATGGATACATGCATACATACATGCATACAGGGTCACATGCATGCATGCATGCATACATACATGTACGCATGTATTGTGTACATACAGACATGCATACATGCATACAACCAAACATATATACATACGTACATGCCTGCGTGCATGCATACATCCGACTAGATGCATACAGACATATATGCATGCATACCTATAGACATGCCTACAGACAGAGTTGCATGCACACCTGCATACGTACATACGTACATACAGACAGACAGGCAGGCGTACATGCATACATACACACATACATGCATACATACATGCATGCGTGCATACAGATATGCATACATGCCTGTACACACATACATGCATGCATACATTCGTGCACGCATACATGCACACATGTAAACATACATGTACATATACATATGCATATACATAAGCATAAACACATACATGTACATATGCATATAATTATATACGCATACAAAGAAACATGAAACAGTCGCGTATGCGACTACTTATATCTCTACATACACAAACATAAACATACCCCTATACCTATCCATACCCATATGCATATCCACATCCATATCCACCGCCTGCCAAGGTCCCCGAAGATCTACCTCACAGGCGGTGGTGATGTAAAAATCCCCGCCTCGGGAGCCAACAAACAAAGAAGCACAAAACAATATTCACTGTTATCTGCCGCGCGCGGGCCCTTGCCAGGCCCCTGGGGCGGTCGGCAGCCAGCTCGGGGTGCAAAACGGCCAACCCCAGGCGAGCGGGTCGAGACAACTGGGGTCCACGATGTGGAAACGAAGCGACGTCGGGGCGTTTGGGTGCGCTGGCATGCGAGGCGCTGCGTCTTCCAAAAACGAGGACCCATAGCCGCAGGATGGTGCTGAAAAAACGGCGTCGAGGTGTTCGGGACCCTCGCCATCAGAGGCCCGAGCTGCTCCCGCCCCGCCGAGCAGCTTGCGGGGCACTCACTTACAGCAGCTGCCTCGCAGTCCCGCCGTGGGCTCCCCGGGGAGCGGCGGAGGCGGACTGAGCTCCCCGCCCCGCGGGCGGCGGGCGGGTGCCCGCCTTGCCATCGCTCGGACGTCGATCCCCCGTGCATGAACAAGGGCTTCGTGCGCGTCCGTCTCGCTCGATCCTCCAGGATGCTCTTCGACGGTCCCCGCCGAGAAACAAAACAAAACAAAAACGAACACGTCCGAGCGATGCCAAGCCACAGCCGCCACTCCTGCGGAGCTCCTCCCCAGACAGCCGATGTCCTACCTGTTCAGCACGGGGGTCCGAAACGTCCCCGCCGTTTTCCCAGGGCCCCCGGGATGCCGACCGCCAGACACTTCCCGTCGTGACTGCTTCGCAACGCGAGCGTGCCTGGGTCGAAACCCTGCGGCACCGACCCCGAAACGGCGGACGTGGACCTGCCCTGGCGGCCGAGCGCCCCCGCGCAGGAGTCGCCGGCATCGGTGGCGCCGCGCCTGCGCCTGCGGAGACACCGCCCCTTGCATCGGGGAGCTTCTGACCCGGGTCAATCCAGACCCGGGTCAGCCAGGCCTCGCAGAATCCTGCAAGATCCTGCAAGACCCTGCACCCAAGCCCGGGCCAACGCGAAGGATCCTGCAAGATCCTGCAGGATCCTGCGCCCAAGCCCGGGTCCATGGGAGCCTGGCTCCGCAGGATCCTGCAAGAGCTGGCGCTCTGGCGGACCCCCGTCTGCACTGGCCCCCGCCTCAAGGCTCCCGACTGGCAGAGGCAGCCCGAGGGGGCCCGGGTGGGGGGGCAGGGCAGCGCGGCGCGCAGTAAGGGCGACCTCGTGAGTCGGCGGCGGGCCGGGAGGGGGGTGGAGCGAGGGGGCGGCAGGCCTCCGCAGGAGGCGGCGGGGCCTCGGGCCCGCTCGGGCACCATCTGCGGCCCTCGGAGGAGGCTCGGGCAGCGTCTCGGAGGGCCGGAGCCTCCTCGGCCTTCTGAGAAGGCCCGCCCCGTACTGTTGGGTCGGGCATGTCCTCCTGCAGGCGGATCTTGTACGAGAAATGAAACAAATGTCTTAAACGTCGATACTATATATATATATTAAGAACACACAAATGTCCCTGACTATGTTCTACTGTGTTTGAAGCTTCCTCCTGTAGAGAGACATGCCCGACTTAACCCTGCTGCCCTCCCCCCGTGGGCGCGCCGCCGAGAGAAGCACGAGCTCCAGCTCGGCTGGGAACGGCCTCGCTAGAAGGAGCCCGAAATAGTTCTGCGTGCACAGAGTGAGGGGCAACGATAGGGGGGGGGCTGGCTCAGGGGGGAAGACATCCACATGCAATCGGCGATACACCGCCGATAGATCGGCGATGGGCCCGCGACAGGGAATCCGCACGTTCCTGGGCGGGGAGGGGCCATCACAACCGTATCGGCGATCCACGGGAGCTTGGGGGTCGATGCACCCCACCGATCGTCGCACCTGACAGAGGTCGCCACCTTATAGGGCCGCGTCTGCACCTGAAAGGCCGCCCTTGTGCAGCCGCTGATAAATGTGGAGGGCGGCGAACAGCGCGGCATGCGAGCGCCGGTGGCCGCTGGGTCGACCGCCCCCAGGGAAAAAACCCGCAAGGGGGGCAGGGACCAGCTCGAGAAGAGCGGGGAGGCGGCAGGAGAGCCCGGAATCGAATCGCTCAGCCTCATCTGCGATCGACACGAGTCGGATCGGCAAGAGTCGGGGGCCAAGACGACGGCAGAAGCCGAGTCGGCGGCAGTCGGCAGGCTGGCGAGGCCGCCAGCAAGAGCCCAGAGTCCAAATCGGAAGCGAATCGAGACGGAATCAGAGTAGATCAATATCAAATCGAATCGAGCCAGAGGAAGCAAAATGAACCCTGAGGTTCTGTCGAGGCTCGAGTGTCGAAGACGAAGCCAGGTTTGGGACAACATCGGGGCCGCGACAGATCGGGGACCTCTGGGATCTTGCGGCTCTTGTGGTTGACCAAAAGCAGGGTCCAGCCGAAAAAGGGTGGTGCAATAGAGTTGGGGCAATTGTCTTGCAAACGTATTACGCTGGAGATGTGTATTGCATTGTATTGCAATTAATGAATTGCACGCGGAAATCAAACAGTATTTCTGCGCACCAGAATGTATTGCAGGCTCCAAATTCATTGCGCAACCCCACAAACCTATTGCACCGAATCTATTGCACCTCCCTCCTTTCGCTAGACCCCCTTTTGTGTCAACCAGTGCTTTTTGGAGGATGTGCACATCGGGCGTCGCGGTCGCTCCAGAGCCCTCCGGAGCAGGGGAGCAGGGGAGCGAGGACGAGGCGGGATCATCGAGAAGGGTGAGGAGGAGGGGGGGGTCGAGAATCTCGAGCCTGAGGACGGAGGCGGGACGAAGTCGAATCAAACATCGAGCCGGATCGGGGGTCTACTGACCCTGGTCAATCCAAACCTGGGTCAGTCAGGCCCTGCAGGATCCTGCAAGATCCCGCAGGACCATGCAGGATCCTGCACCCAAGCCGGGGTCAGTGCGACACTGGCTCTGCAGGATCCTGCAAGATGCGGCGCTCTGGATGACCTCCGTTTGCACTGACCGCCGCCTCTTGAGCCCCGACCAGAGGGACGGGAACCGAAATGAGCCCCTGAGCCCCGGAGGGGCGGGAGGGCGCCGCCAGAGCAGGGGAGCAAGGACGAGGCGGGATCATCGAGAAGGACGGAGAGGGGGGGGGGGGGGGGGGGGTGGCCGAGAGCCTCGAGTCCTGCAAGGACGACGACATGGGGGGGAGGGCGAAATCGAATCGAACATCGAGCCCCAAGCCGGAGGAGTCGAAATGAGCGGCGGCGAGCCCAGGGGGGAAGTGAGAAGGGGCGGGCCTTCTCAAAAGGCTAAGAAGTCCCCTGGCCTTCCGAGAAGGTTTCTGAGCATTCCCTGGAAACACAGAACACCTCTCAGAAGGCACGAGGGCTTCTGAGAAGTCCCGCCGCCTTCTGAGAAGGCCTTCTCCGTCTCACTTCCCCACCTGGGCGCGCCGCCGAATATCAGCGCGCCGCCGAATATCAGTCAAAATTCAAATTCATCCCAAGATCCCTCCTGGGATCCATCCGACGAAGAAGCTCTTCACCCGAGGTCGAGTCTCGGGGGCCCCGGGGCCGGGAAACGGCCCCCAGAGGCGGAAAACTGTCAAAAAAAGCACGCCTCGAACCTCGAACCTCGAAGCTCCTCCCCCCCCCTCGCTCGCCGCCGACCAAAGTCGCACCCAACATCGAGCCGGAGGAGCCGAGATGAGCCCCGGGGAGGGGGGGCGCGCCGCCGCGCATCCCCTTCGTCAGGGGCGGCGAGGCTGCCCGCGGCCGCCGCGCTGGGGCCCCTCGCAGGGCGCGGGCCCCCCCCCGCTGAGGGGCAGTCGTCGCCGTCGGCGTCGTCGTCGTCGGCATCGGCGTCGGAGGCGGCGGCGGCGGCGGCGGTGGCGGCGTCGGCGTCGGCGTCG